GGGAGCAGTGACGTCACAGTCACTAGGCAGACCCAGCCCTGCTGCTGCCCTAGGAGGGGCTGCGGGAGCAGTGACATCACAGTCACTAGGCAGACCCAGCTCTGCTGCTGCCCAAGCAGCTCTGCCCTCACGAGGGACCTCACAAGCAGCAGCCACGCCCTCTGGCTGCAGCTGGCCTATCAGGGCCTGTGGCAGGAGGGACCTTCTCATGTGCAGCGCATCCATTGGCTGTTAGCTGCCATGGCAACGCTGAGCCCTCCTGCCCTGGCAGCAGCTCCTCCCCCTGCGGCGGGCGGCGCCATCTTGTGGGCGGCAGCGCGAGGCATCGCGGGGTCTCGGGGCAGCCAGGCCCGTGGGCAGCGCTGGGTTTGGGAGCTCCTGGGAGGTTGTGACGAGTTGTGGAGCCCAAGGCCTCATGGAGACAAGTGTGGGAYGTGGCTTTGTCCCCATGTCCCCTCCTGCCCCCATCCTGAGGATCTGGGGAGCCCTGTGGGAAGGGCAGTGGGTTGAACTGAGTGGGATGGGCTTCCCTCGACACCCCGAGTGCTGCCTGGGGCGCTGGGAGTGCCCAGGACAATCCCTCTTCTCCAGGCTYCTGCATCAAGGCCTGTGCTGACATTTGCCCAGCAGCGCAGCCCAGTGCAATATCCACAAGAGCAGTAGAGCCCCTGGCAGGGCTGGGACCCACCACGAGCTGTGTTGTTCTCCCATTGCCACGTGCCCTGTTTAAATGGACAGTTTCTAACATCCCATTCAGGGCCGTGTCTGGGCACTGTAACATGTGATTTCTCCCAACACCCTGTTCACCCAGAGCCCCAGGTGCTGGTTAGTTCTGCAGGGAGTTAAAGCTTGTGCTGTCTCTGTGATGTCCAGTCCTTAATTCCCTTAATATCCAGCCTTTCCTGTCCCTCACAGACRTTTCTAGTTAGATTATTCTTTAGGACAATRGGCCCTCATTGGAGGCTATTGGACTTAGCGTACAGTCAAAGAGTGTCATCATTTTCTATAAAACTCTAGCATGTTTTATTTTCTGTTTCTTTATACCTGAAGAAGACATTGTCCCTATTTGCAGCCAGTTGTCTCCGTACAGCAGGTGGGAATAGGGGCAGGTGAGCTGTAACCTTCACTTGCAGCCTTAAGCAGGCTGTTGACAGGAATGATGGAAAGTCCTGTGAGGCTGATGAGAGAAATGTCTGG